TGTTAGTTCTGGTCTTGAGGTTTAGACAGTTTAAGAAAACCTCTATAAGCATGAACTTATGCTAATCATATCACTTGTTCAAAAAAGTATAACTTAAGGCGTCTATGAAATAAGCGATAAAAAAGGTGCAACGACCTTCATAAGCATTCGGGTGAAGTTTTGGCAGAGTTTTACTGTAGGATTTGTAATAGTCGCTCAATCTGCACCAGCAGTATCACGTTAAGCAACTTAAGCCGGTGTGAGTACATTTTGCACTCACCGTTGTCCAGTGGACTCGGCTTGTTGGAAGAACGTAGAGAGCACCACTAAGCATCACTCGATCATTACTAGTTAAGTGATTCGATAAAACTCTGAACGTCATCAAAATTTCTTATTTAACTCCTTACATAAAAGCCAATGGATTAAGGATAAAGTGCTCGGCGTTCATCAATCGCTCAGTTTGATCGAAACCATATTTGATCCATGCAACTACTTGGACTGGTCCATAATCTATCACGTTACTGCCTTTATCCCCCGGCCGCGAGAAGTCAGGCAGCAATGCTGCAATTTGTGGCTGCAATTTTCTCAGAGGGATGAAAAGCTTGGCTAGCCCAGATTGGGGATCGAACCACGACCATGTGTGCGTTGTAATGCACTTCTAACCAATGCACTACACACTTTAACTATCAACACAGATAAACAAATCTTTACAGGGTTTTTCTATAGTTTTCGTATCACGTCTAACATTGACTTGTTTTGTGAATTCACCAATTACACTACACATTATATCACAAAACGTTATTAGCCCTCATAAACTTCCGTAGTATAGGAATACTAGAAAAAAAAACATACCTAGAAGTACCTGTCACGATCCTCGCACAAGAATCGAGAACACAAGCGGGCGAAGCTCTCGAAGCGTTCTGGATTAATTCCAGAAATCCGAAAATGAACCACAGGGAAGAATGCCTCATTATCACGCGTGATATTGGGCAGTATATAAGCTTGTTATTCTGATGGGAAGACACATTATGCTTCCATGTAAACTCTGTGCGGTTGGTCTCCATGTCACATATTCAGTGGAAGGCTCATAGAAAGCGGTGAATGTGCTAAGAAGCTTTTCTGTACTCAATGTGATTGAAATCTTGCTTTAGCGTTTTTTTTGTTTGGTTATGGAGGTGTTTGGCGGAATAGATTGCTGTCAACGTGACCTTTCCAGGCTCTGAGGAAGGCGAAATCCGCCGAAACGTCAGCTCATTCGTGAATAAAGACTAGAAATAACACCACGCGTTTGCTCAACAAGAATACGAAGAATTACATACCTCGATAGTTGGATGGCCCGTTTTCACTGGTTGTGCGGGCCCCAGCATAGTTGCCATTTTTTGGAGTTTTGCTGCTTTATCCATTGTGGTGGTCACCACCATAGGCAGTCGCAGCCCTTGTCGATCAGAGGGAGATTTGTTAGTATGCGACTTTGATATCAGGACGGTGGCAGATCCTGGTATTGGTTTACTCCTAGCAGCTAGGCTTCCTGATGGAAACGCTGGACTCCTTAGCTTGGGAGACCCTGTTGGAGGAAAGAATCACCCCACTATACATCGTATCCCGTTGCCCAGGAACTCCTCCCAGTCACGATGAGGCGGTAAACCGCTGAAAGGAGTTAGAAAAAAAGAGTAGTAAGAACAAACGAGTAAATAAATAACGAAACGTAGGAACACGAATAGATAAATAGAAAATTAAAGAAAAAAACAGACTTGGACGAAATCGGGTTCGTTTCTATAAAAAAGAAATCCCTCCATTCCTATCTCTTCTCTCTTTGTTTTCGATGTTTATGCTTAAGGGAACAAGAAATCGATAGTGCACTTATAATTGTGCTAATACGATTTAATGAAATAAAAAAATATTGTCAGTTACATTCAGCTGAAATGATGTAGGCCAGATTTTATTTTGTGAAGATAAACAGACATAAATAGTAAACTAGTTAAAGCGTTTATAAGAAGAAGAATGAGAAGGACACAGAACGACGGGCAGAGAGGAGGGTGGAGAGAGACAAAGATAGGGATGGAAACAGAGAGATAGGGATAGAGATAGAAGAAGAGAGGCAAAGATAGAGATGGCAAGAGAGACGTTCCCACAGATGAGAACAGACCTCAGCAGATTAGTACCAATCATTTTCAGCACGGGCACTGACTACGTGTGCCATAAACCCACATAATTTCTAGAAAAATCAGAAAAATGCAAGGATTCAGAACTTGTCATGAGAAAAAGTCGAGGCCTCAAAAAAAAACGAATATGGCGGGACCCATAAAGCTTTTTATAGAATTGCAACATAGTTTAAACACCTCCAGTGGCAAAAGAAACTGGAACCGAAGGAAGAACAGTAAATAACCGTGTGATGTAAATGAAGGACAAAGGTAAAAATATTCAGAGACCACGTGTGCATTCAGGGTACTCTATCAGCAGTTTTCACCTCGGACCGCAGGTGTCTGCGGCTGGGAACGAACGCGCTATGACCCTTTCCGGGAGCTAACGCGTTCACCGTCACACTATGCGGGTCTTTCGTTTCGCCCGTCTCTCAACTAGTTCTCTATCGATCAGTACAATCAGCAATCACCTGTCAATGGGATTCATTTAGGAGCCCAAATCGGCAGTGAACCTAGTTCAGCTGAGGCTGTAGTCGAATCACAATTTTAACTTTTTATTTCTATTTATTCGTTCATTTTTTTCCCTTTTCAAACACCTGTGATCTAGAATTTTGTAAATATCTCACCATCATTGTGATTGAATCGCACAAAATACTCTGCCTTGAAAAATTTAAATAAGCAGTAAATAAAAAGAAGTTTTAATAAGAAAAAGATAAAGCTCTCCGCTTCGATTCCCTGAGGGATGCGCTATGCATTCGATTTCATCAAGCATCGTTGGAGGTGACTCAATACATACCTGGCCTATGCAATGACTCGCGGTGGCCTACCGATGCATCGAGCCACTGCCGCTATCCTCCCAGACAAGTCTGGTACCAATTTGCCGACCCGGGAGGGATGGAAAGCTTGGTGGGCCATGAGCGCATGGATCGATTACACGTGTGTGTCGCAGTGGCGCCTCCAACCACTGCGCCACACGCGCCCTAGAAGTTTTAATATAGTTCATATACTAATAGTCCATTAACAGTAATAATAATAATAATAATAATAATAATAATAACAATGATAATAATAGGGGCGCAAGTAGCGCAGTGGTCAGATGCGTTCTGCAATACACGTGGGCTCTATCTATGCGTCGCAGGACCACCAAGCCTTCCATCCTTCCGATGTCGGCAAATTAGTACCAGATTTGTCTGGGAGGATAGCGGCAGTGGCTCGATACATCGGTAGGCCGCCGCGAGTCATTGCATAGACCAGGCATGTATTCAGTCACCTCCAACGATGCTTAATGAAATCGAATGCATGGCGCATCTCTCAGGGATAGATCAACGCCGAGAGCTTTATCCTTTTTAATAATAATAGCGATGATAATGATAATGTTTACTTTTTATTTTCTGCCTTTTAATATTTTTATGGCAGGGTATTAAGCGAAATACAACCACAAGGTTGCTCAGATATTTGCAAAAGTACGGAGCGAAGGTGCCTGCGGTGGGGAACGAACGCGCTATTGTCCTTTCCGGGAGTAACGCGTTCACCACCACACCATGCGTGTCCTTCGTTTCGCCTGTCTCTCAGCTAGTTCTGTTGATCTGTGCCGTCAGCAATCACCCGTCAATATTTCGCTTAATACCGTGCCATAAAAATATTAAAAGGCAAAGAATAAAAAGTAAACATTGTGAATTCAGCTACAGCCTCAGCTTAACTGGGTTCAATGCCGACGTGGGCTTCCCAGATCAATCCCGTTGACGGGTGATTGGTGACGGCACAGATCAATAGAACTAGGTGAGAGACAGGCGAAACGAATGACCAGCATGGTGTGGTAGTGAACGCGTTACTCCCAGGAAAGGGCAATAGCGCGGTCGTTCCCCACCGCAGACACCTGCGGTCCGGAGTTTTGCAAATATCTCTGCAATCTTGTGATAATGATAATATTTAAGAATAGGAAGGGTTTTAATGCCGTCCCATAGACAGCCGAGGAGGCTAGTAGCAATGATGAAAAACCGTTTGATTATCTTCAGCACAGTTTTGGTCACTAAATCAAACATTACCGAAAAGGAACACATCGGTTCTTGAACTTGCCGGGTTAGTTCACTTTACATTTCTTATGACCGTTCTTGATATATTGTGAAAATCCCAGCACTTTTCTCATTCGATTCACTGTCCCACTTTCGTCATTCGGGAAAAAGCTCCAAATCTTGTACAATCGTTATGGTACTACTTAACGACATTGTCTTCGTGAAATCACCGAATGTTGGTTCAGTTGATTTTCTCTGGAATATAGGGATAGCCCTGCTGGGGCGTCTCCCGGTGCTTGGCATAAAAACTCATCGACCATGAAAGATATCCTTCGGGTATTCTGTCATATAACAATGGAACCACAAACAAACGCGCCGATTGGTCGCACATGCCGCGATACGACACCGCGCGTGAACGAATGGGCGAGTCGCCTGGCGCACGACGATTCTGGCGTTTCCGTGTCCGTGACTGTTCTCAAATTTGTCCATTTTCTGTTCAATTTCTCAATTCTCGGGATCGTTTATGGTATTACTCTAGCTTTCTCGAAATGATTAAACCCTAGTTAGCGAGGGACAAGGTGATTTGCGTTACGATTCAGGATGTTGTGATGCACATCTCTTTAACGCAACCAGATTTTCCTTAGAGCAGTTACTCCTTTGTGCTGTTTTTTCTCTCCTTCCTTTCATTATATTTCGAGGAGCTTATAACTGGCTAGTAGAATTTCTCGTCTTTGCCATAGCGGAACTTATTGCTTTATTCAGGTGACTGAACTAAAGAATCCTATATATTTGTCGATTTCCAAGTGCAAATTAACTGGTCTGACCTCCTAGACTGCCATCTAATTGTATTTTTTCTCGTAGAATTTGGATGAAGAGAGAGTTTTTGGAGGTTGGTTTTGTTCGGGCTTGTGGTTATGTATCAAACGAGTCTGAAATCTCCCACTATTGTTATTGAAAGTCGACGTTCGCTTAGTCGTCTCTCAGTTCTGAAATTGTTTTACGTATATTTTTCTCTTTAAGTTGCTTTTAATTCCGGCTTGTTTAAGGTGCTCTAACATGTACAGTAATTGTGGTAGCAGTGGATCAGCAGCAAATGTGTACGATCAATATGACATGAATGCACACGGAATGAATCAAAACCGTGTGAAGGTTTGTGCTTTTTTTTACTAGTCACATTAATTACTTAGATACTTGGATGGCCCGTCTTCACTAGTTGCGCGGGCTCCAGCATAATTTCCACTTTTTTGGGAGTTTTGCTCGCTTAACCATTATGGCTCCCTGAAGTCCGGAGGTCGGTTTGGCCAAAGTCTGTCCCAGGTCGTCACCACCACAGGCAGTCGCCAGCCTTGTAGATCAGGGAAAGATTTGCCACCATGTGACTAGTTTGATACCAGGACGGTGGTGGATCCTGGTGTTGGTTTACTCTTAGCTGGGCTTCCCGATGGAAACGTTGCGCTACTCAGCTTGGGAGACACTGTTTGTGGAAATGAATCCCCGTTGTACATCGCAGCTTGACACCCAGGCGCACCTCCCAGCCACGAGGAGGCGGTTAACCGTTGAGAGGACTGGCCGCATGATCAATTTAATTTATTCATTTCTTCCTACTGTGATGTATGCTTGAAGACAGCACAGGAAATTTTGTGAAGTGTGAAGTGACTTTTGTTAAGGTAAAACTAAAGAGAAGCAATAACTCTTGCTGATTTAGTGGTGACTAGCTTTTTCGAGCAACTTTATTAATTAAAACCAGATTTAGAATAGGTCATTTCTATTCATTTTTGTTAGAAATCATGTGTGAACTTCTAAATTCGACATGTCCTGAACGTTAATTGGTGTACTTATGTTGATTTAAAGGGCGCATGTAGCGCAGTGTTTAGAAGTGCCCTGCAACGCACATGGGATCGAACCCGCGTCGATGACCCCCAATGCACTCCCAAGCCTTCCGTCCCTCTAGGGTCGGCAAATTGGTATCAGGCTTATTTGGAATGACAGCAACGCTGACTCAATACATCGATGGTCCACCAAGAGTCATTGTAAAGGCCAGATATGCATTTAGTCATCTCCTACGTTACTTAATGAAGTCGAATGCATGGCGCATACTCAGGGATTGATCAACAATGGGAGCTTTCTCCTTTATCCTCTACGTTGATTTAATAATCTTTACGGTTTTCTGTTTCAAACGTGCTCTTCATTACCTTGTTATCTAGATTTTTATTCTTGCACTATTTTTTAATTACAGGTAGAAGACGCTTTGTCATATTTGGATCAAGTAAAGACTCAGTTCGCTGATCAACCAAATGTTTACACACAGTTTCTGGATATAATGAAGGACTTCAAATCTCAGGCGTATGCAAATGAGAACTCATTGGGTGCATACGTTTTGTTTTGTGATTTACCTTTTTTAAGTATCGACACTCCTGGTGTTATAACAAGAGTGAGTCGGCTATTCCAAGGGAGATCCGCTCTAATAATGGGTTTTAATACATTTCTACCACCCGGTTTCGAGGTGCGGGTAGTAGGGTCAACGATCACTATCATGGAACCAAACGGAAATACACAGGTGAACCTACTTTTTGACTGCGTATAATTGGTGATTAGTCTTAAATTTTTCTATATATTTTGCGGTATCTTTTTTACCTCGATGTTTTCATTTCAGAGCTTAGTTACTCCTAGGCCACTTCTGATTTTAAAGGTCAACTGGTGTTGTTTCTTATAGCTGTTTTTAGGTAATCATGAATGAGCCGGCAACAGAACGCTTACTAGAGGAGAAAGAAGTCATTGACGGTGGTAGGATGATACAATCGGACCATCGAATATCCGAACACACTGTTGAAGATGCCCAGAATATTCCAACACCTGCTGCTCTAGCACCGTCTCCTAGGGTATGTTGTTTGATATACTATTTTTGTTTTATGGAGAGCTTCTAAATTTGTTCCTTTGTTATATTTCATTCAGCAATTTTTTTCAGCTGCTGTGCTTTTAGGCAAACGCTCCAATAGTGAATCCAAATCGACAAGATATCAACGAAGCTATTGGCTACGTTAACCGTATAAAGGTGTTTTTCTTCAAATAATCCTGCCATTATTACTGTTACCACTTTCTCTTTTAGGCTAGGTTCGCTAACAAGCCAATTGTTTACAAAAAGTTCTTAGACATTTTGCATACCTATCAAAGGACTGTTGATAAACATGTAGGTCGTTTCCACACCAGTGTTTCTTAGCAATACCATCACAGTGGCATTCGTTAGTTTTTCAGTCGCGTTCACCTCCAAGAGAAAAAGCTGTGTTGGATGCAGTAACGTCCTTGTTTGGTGAGGAACCAGATCTGCTCGAAGAATTTCGACATTTCCTTCCTGGTGTTTATGGCCTTCGTAGCTCTTCAGATGTGTTGTGGGATAATGAGCAAAAGGAGGTGGCCATCTGGTTTTCTTTACCAATTCCATGATGGATATTTGGCACTTCTGTTCAGGTAGAGGTATCTTCTGAGTCTGAAGAAACACCTACTAGAGAAGAGCCATCTGATTCTGAACGCGAACAACGAAGCATGTCAAAACGAAAGCGACGTGCGAAATTAGCGATGGACTTGACGGTACTTTATTTTAAAGCATTCTGTTTTTATTCCTTATCTCAGTGTAGCACTAGTATGATTTTGAGTCCATTTCTACGTTGATATTATGACTTTTTAGAATTTGGAACTACTTAATGGGGCAACACTGTTTTTCGAATTTTAGAGAAGACATGACACATTCTGCTTCACATGCAAAATATACTTTTTTTGAGGCTGGAATACGCCATTCAAATGCAGCTATTTGGAAAAGGGAAGTGTCTATGAAGGACATCGTACTCAGTGCTACTGTCGATGACATAATGTATTTCGATAAGGTATAAATTCGTGTCTCCTTAGGGCACTATGAGCGATAGAATTGTTTGTGTACAAGTAGATGTCGACATTTACTTTAAGATTCGTCGATGTTTGGAAGAACGGAAGCATGACACCTTTTTACGAGCTCTTAATCTATATAGTGCAAATATAATAACAGGAAGCGAACTTCTAGCAATGCTTGATAGTGTGTTTGGTTAGTGGAGTACTCTAATTTTTCTTCCCTAGAATTGTTGAACAGTATTGTTTTTTTTTGCATTTCAACGGCATGTTTTTACTTGCGACGATGTCATCGTAGTCAGTACTGTGTTACATTAATAAGGTTGCGTAAGGTTACTGTGAAAAGCCCTTTGTTGTGAGTAACGTTTCAGCGCCTTCGCCTTCTTCAGGCCCGCAATTCGAATCGGATCTCAACAGCAGTTATCCTTTGCAGTTTTTGAGTCTTGTTACTTACATGAAGTCGAATCGAGGGGTGCGAAACAACGCACGAATGCAGTGGTCTCACACAGCAGTGCCCAGAATGGATTTTCACCGTGGGAACATCGTATTGAATCACTTTATATCGAAGCCTATTCTATATAAAAGGGCTCTTTTGGGTGAGATTAGCTCGTTCGTTTGTTGCTCTGTTTCATTTGATTCGACTCTGGTGGATACGACTGTTAAACTTAGTGACAAAAAAGGATTGCTGTAAATATTCGACTTGTACCGTTGTACGCTTAGCAATGCAGCAAAATATTGATTATTCGTGCGAAAGGTAAACGAAATCCAATTTTCGTAAGTGCCATCGTGATCAGTTTGATCCAGGGAAACAAGCCTATCTATTGGATGGACTTCGACGGATACTTGGTGTGGAAGACAATTATAACAACGCCTCTCCATCTTCCAACACCATAGAACAGCGATTCTCCAGTGATCTCGCTCACCAGATTGACTACTCCAGTTGTAAGCAACTTGGAGTAAGCTATAGGTATATTTCTTTGTTCTTGATGAACTCGTACATTATATGTATGCATATATATATACATACATATACATGTATATATATGTATATGTAGCAGTTGGCTTTATTTTTAAACTTTAGGAGCCTTCCAGACAGTTTTAAACGCCCAGTCTGTTCAGGAAGAACACCATTATGCCACGAAGTAAGTAGTGTTAGTTTACATTTCTTTGAAGTGTCCTATGTTTTAAACTCGTGAATTTTAAGGTGCTGAATGATACTTGGGTGTCATTCCCATCTTGGTCCTCTGAAGATACTACACATGTTTCATCAAAGAAAACCCAGTATGAAGAATTCATCTACCGTACGGAAGATGAACGTTTCGAGGTGCAGATTCCCAAAAATTGTTTTTTTTTTTTGAATCACTCTTTAAGTGGTTTTTTCTAGTTGGATATTATAATCGATGTAAATAAATACGCTATCGAGTCACTTGAAGTTGTTCGTCGACGTATGGAGCGGATGACACAATCTGAATTAGACAAGTTTCAGTAAGATGAATCCAGATCATTCGTTTAGCAAGGTGGTAGGTAATTTTAAATATCCGTCCTATTCTCATTTAGATTAGATGAAAGACTTGGCGGTAGCTCTCCTTCCTTGATGCTACGTGCTATAAAACGGATTTACGGAGAACATGCCTCCAAGATCACAGAAGGAATTAAAAGGAACCCATCCATAACTATTCCTAAGGTGGTTATTTGATTTATTTCGTTATTTCACTATCCATCTGTTATGTTCTTAGGTATTGGACAGAATGCGTGACAAAGAGAAGGAATGGCGTGAAGCTCAGGTCGCGATGAACAGGTGTGCATTATTTATATCAGATTTGATCACAGTTGTTCAGTTTCTACTACTTTTTTGCATTGTCTAGACATTTCAGAATATGGCGTGAACAAAACGAAAAACACATGATGCGTTCACTTGATCATCAGACGAATGCGTTGCGCAACAGCGATTCAAAATGGATAAAAGCGAAGGCACTTCTTCATCATATAGAGATCATGTTCGACGAGAGACAACAGAAGTAGGGTTGTAGTCTCTTCGCTTTTTTTCTTACTGCCTACTCTTTTAATAGCATGGTATTATGTGAAATATAACCACCATGATGCTGAGATATTTGCTAAACTCCGGACCGCTGGTGTCTGCGATGGAAACCGAACATGCTATTACCCTTATCGGGGGCTAACGCGTTCACCACCACACCGTGCGAATCCTTCTCGCCTTTCTGTCAGCTATGTTATTAACCTATAGGTGCTATCAGCAATCACCCGTCAACAAGATTGATCTGGGGAGCACAAATCGGCAATGAACCCAGTTAGGATGAAGCTGTGGTATAAATCACAATCTCTTCACTTTTTGTTTACTGCTTACTCTTTCTTAATGGCAAGCTATTGGAGGATTATTTTCCGTAAATTGTTGTAATGCTATTTGACTTGAGGTGTAAGATATAGCTAAATGATTCTGTTTATAGATCTGAGGAAGGTCTATGTGAGGATGTAGGACCACACATAGTCTTACTTTATCCAGAAGATCGATCACTTCTTCATGATGCGTCGAACTTGATTATCCACTATGTCAAAAGGCAATCGAACATACACAAGGAAGAAAAGAATAAGATTAAATGCATTCTTCGACGGTTAGTTGTTCCTCTTAGTTGTGATTTTAAACGTTTGTATCAGTATTTTTACTCTACTTTTATTACTGAACATTAATTAACAAACAGGTTACTTAGACTCTTCAATTTTCTTCCATACAGCATACCCAACGAAATTTATGTGATTTTTGAGGTTTGTAACAGAATGGTTTGGAGTCGACGATGAGGAAATGAGTGATGGAGAAGAAAATAGTGATCCATTAATTCATGCCATAGGACCGCCAAGAAAGCGACGAAAGTAGGCAAAAACTTTTCAATAACCTTTTACCGTTCAGAAGTTGAAATTATTGTAGAGAAGACGCTCCAGAAGATGAACCAGCAAAGCTGATTCCAACTGCTCACTATCGACTTGTTTACGGCGGCAATTCGCTGTTCTTATTCTTCCGTGTCCACCAAATGATATGTGATCGCCTTGGAAAGCTGAAGATAAAACATGCGGAACAAATTCGAAATTATGAGGTGCGACCGTACATTGCAAACTAGTATTAGCTGTGTTTGTTTTAATGCCTAAATAAATTTTAGACGATGGATGTTCATTTTAGGACGAACTGAAAGTTGCAGCTATGCAAGCGCAGTTATACAAGATACATGGGAAACACTTCGGTAGTCATGAGCAGAATGCAAGCGATACGAATAATGGATTGGCAATTATTAAAGTTCTGTTTATTCCTATTTCTAAACACTTGGTTTAACCCTTTTTGTGATGTGTAGAATTGGTTCCCAGCATTTCCTGTTTACAGAGCCCTCAACGTTCTCCTCTGTCCAACTATTCTGACCTCTTATGTGAAATTAAAAATCTCTTGGACGGCAATATTGACTCAAATACATTTGAGGATAATGTTCGGTGAGTTGCGTCTTCTATTGCAAAGACTTGGTGAAATATTTGCTTTAGTTTTATATTTTTTACAGACTACTTTTTCCAATAGACGGGTATCTAGTGGCGACAATAGATAAGCTAATAGCAATGGTAGGCAGACAGCTCCATTTTATGGCGACTGGATCTGAAGGGTTTGAGACGATGAGACTTTATCAACGTTATCGCTACGACAAGCCAATATCTGTGTTCAGTCAATCAGCTAGAAAAATAAGGTAATAAACTCGTATCGACGGCAGATCAAATAATACGAAGTTGTTCTTCAGAGTCGAGGAAGAATATTCACAATCGGCAGAATCATTCTTTAGCTGCCAGAACTGTTTCAAAATATTTTTGATTTATGAAGAAAAGCCCGTTGTAACAATTGAATTGGTGGACACAGAGACCGAGGTAATTCATGTTTTCGTAGAAAATCCGGTCCTCACTCGTTCTCTATACACAACTTCGCATTCTTATTCAGGAAGAAGCCGCTGAGGTTGAGAACTCACAACCTAACGATGATTCAGTGGCATATGTGAGTAGTGATGATGACTCTGACCAAAACGAGGTTGCTTTTAGCTGTTACTTAGCCTTTTTCCCCCCTTTATCTATTTTGTAGGAAGTCGAGGAAGAACAGCGAAGAACAGGCAGAACGGGCGTTCTAAAACCAAATGGCTTATCATCAACGAGTGAGAGATTACGAGCGCTGCACACAAATGGTTCTCGACCATCGACAAGGCCTTCTTGGCCTAATTTTGAAAGATGTAGTATTATATCATTATATTTTTACAAGTATTTTATCATAAGTACCCAAATGGTCATACGAAGTAGTATATTATAGGTCGCCTTTTTATGAGACGTAATGCGCGGATACGAAAGCCAGAAATAGCAGGAGAGTTTGTCGTAGTTGGAGGAATACCGAATACAGGCTGTTCCTATTCATGGGAGGGAATTGTTCGTAGGAACCGCTTCCGCGGAGTACGTTTGCCACAATTAGTGTCCTTCCATACTTTCTTCACTGTTACCTATTTTTTACACTTATTTTTACCTTTGATTTTATGGTTTTCCAGTCTATTTTAGCTGTGTTTCATGGAACGCATGTATTATGTTAGAAAATCTCGAGCTGGTGAAATGTTCGCAGAAGAGCATGGTGTCACATGGCTAACCAAAGGCATGCAGAAGATCAAATCACATCACCCCGTGTACACGTTTCTTCGGTACAACAAATACATGATGAGAAGCATACCACAACAATCTTTTCGCTCTGGTGGTCGTTGTAGTTAACACACAGAATATCTATATTTCAATTACTGGTATTGTAATGGCGGCTGTTGAACAGTCGTATATCTCACTTTAATATAAATTAAGCACTAATCTTGCTAGTCACTAATCACTTCACGTTGTCAAATCTTTACCATGTATTTCTAAAAAAATATTTCTTAAAACAGCCTATTACAAGTAAATGTACGCATACCGTTTAAAACTAGACGGAAACTTCAGCACAGTGTGAAGGGTAATTTCCGGATAAATACTGAGCGTACAAATTATACATGAATATGACCGGGCCATAAATACAAAGCAATACCAGGCGATATAGATATAAAGATAGTGGTAGCTTCCTGAGAAAGAAAGGTGGAACGAGCATTCGAGCAATGGTTAAGAAAGCACAAACTTGAATATTAGATATTCGTACTTATTAGACATACATCGACTCGGCTAACGAAGACATCTTAAGGTCGACTCGCACGAAATGAGCAAAATATTCAGATAATTCGTCTACCTCGCCATCAGGTGTTGGCGGTCGAGCAGCTTGGATACTGCATGTTACAGGTATATCTCGCCTGTAATAAATTAGATGCATATATAGTTCACCAACAGGGACTGTACAAGAATAGGGCATGTTTTATATACATCTACATTGAACACCCCGTCGTCTACTCAGCCTTGATTGGACCTCGAATATAACGTGTGTGTACAAAGCAGATCTTCACGGAAGGCGATATCAGCCTCTGATACAGGACTATGGAACGGAACTTGAGTTGAAACATTAAACTGTTGGTTTCATATACTGATCAAGAATGCTGAGAACCTTGTTCATTCAGCAAGGCTATTGATTGGATATCGCTCACCGAGATCTCAACATTCTGATTTTTCGTAATGGTTCACTATCAGTTTTATTGTCTTGATCTCATACTCCACCTCAAATAGAGACAGAAAAAATGTACGACGGGAAAACTGTATAAAGAGAGCTTACCTATCTAGTAAGCACATACGGAGGCTTTCGACATCAACGACTTCAGGGAAATGCACCGTTGTTAAAACAGAAAGGAGGTCGTCAACCGGCAAAGTCGACCGGAGTTTCCTTTAAAAAGTATGACACAGGTTGGTAATTCGAAAGTAACATTGGAAGGGAAATTGGTGTCGACCACTTCTCAATCAAGTTTATTACTTGGATATTTCGGTGGCCCGCCTTTACTGGTTGTGTGGGCCCCAGCATAATCACCATTTATCGGAGATTTGCTGGCTTAGCCTCTGTGGTTCCTTAGGGTCCCGAGGTCAGTTTAGCCAAAGTCTGTCCCAGGTCATCACTACTACAGGCAGTCGCCGCTCTTTTGGATCAGAGGGGAGATTTGCCACCCCGCGTTGATATCATTAGTTTAATATCAGAACGGCGCTGGATCCTGGTATTGGTTTACTCTTGGGTGAACTTTTGATGTAAACGCCGGACTCCTCAGCTTGGAAGGCCCTGCACGCGGGATCAATCCCCCTCGGCACATCGTAATCGGACACCCAGGAAATCCTACCAGCCACAATAAGGCAGTAAACCGTTGGAGGCAAGCTTATTAATGCTAGCACTTATCACTAAAATTCAAGTGGAAAACCTAAAAGAACAAACCTAGGAATCGGATACGGGGTCCACTTGACTCTTTTCCGCCATGTGGATTGTCGACGTTCCTTAGTATCAACCTCGTTATCACCACCACTTTTCTCCTCCCGTGAATTTGACTAAAACAACTGTATAAATAACGCCAAAGTTGCTATTCTAATCAATAACCTCTCTTAAAAATCGTATCTTAAACAACATTCTTGAATTAACATCTTTACTCTAATGGAATGAAAATATATCGCGTTATATCGCGACCCGGATGGTGTAGTGGTGAAGTGCGCTGCTCCCCGGTAAGGACAACAGCGCGTGTTCGTTCCCCACTGCATACACCTGTGGTCCGGAGTTTTGCAAATATCTCAGCACTTCATACGAGTTATATTTCACAACATACCCTGCCATTAAAAAGAAAAAGGCAGTAAATAAAAGAGTTAAGATTGTGATTATATCGCGTTTGTCTGAACAGATGCTCGAAGATGAGGAACATCTGTTAATCGCGGATTACAGAAGGCTCACTTCCAAAATTTTTAAGAATATGTATTTCTTCTCATCCAGGATGGAAATCACGTGCACAGAACACTTTTTTAGCTAGAAATATGATACACAGAGCATATGCTTAGGGTAAGAAAATGTGTTCATCGCAGTAACTAGTGAAAAGACCTTAAGATTCCCGAAAACTAATTGCGTTCATGAGCACACCTACTCATGAGGACTAGTGACACTGGTACCCGAGAATCGAACTAGGTAAACTCCACCCAAGCGGCATGCTAATACCACTGCCTCTATGGATGATGAATGCATGACAATGAAACGAATAGAAGAAATGGAACGCCAAACGACATGTTAAGACGGGTTATCTAAGCATCTAGATGGGAACTGTTGGAATACTACCCATTTAGATGGTTGAGTACAGTACGCTCACAACATGACAAAACTAACCTATGCCAACCAATACGGGAACGGCAAACTTGTACCAGACTTGTCTGGGAAGATACCAGCACTGGCTAGATACATCAGAAGGTCACCGCGAGTCGTTTAACCTAATGTCTAGCTAACAGTGCCATCCTACATAGTGAGGTTAGGCAGATATAAAATTAAGGTTGTAGTAGTACGCTACTGTGATTACTCCTAAGACTTCTACGAAGAGAAAGTACACTGCAAGTTCAATGTGGTCTGTTCAAGATCGAAATTTAAAATTTTATACTAAAGCAAGTAATAGACTAAATATTATAGAACTAAAAAAAAGAACAGAGCACTCGGCGTCGATCAAGTCCTGAGGGATGCGCCAGCCATGCATCCGAATTAACTAAGCATAGTTTGAGGTGATTGAATGCATATACAGCCTATGCAATGACTCGCGGTGGCCTACCGATGTATCGAACCACTGCTGCTCAACTCCAAGATAACTCTTGTACCAATTTTCTGACCCCGGAGGGATGGAAAGCTTGGTGAGCCTCGGGCGCGAGGACTGATCTCATGTACACTGGAGGATGCCTCCAACCACTGCGCCACACGCGCCCCTCTGTAGAATTTACTATACAAAAATATATATAGGTTACAATCACATTTCACGTACTACACTGTCTCGCATATTACGAGCTACTACATAAATCAGCCTGGATTATTATGATTTCTAAACCTATTTTTTCATAGGAAATAAGTCTTCGATGAATCCTCTAAAACACCCACTAAGAAACTTTATGTCCTCTGAATGTCATACCAAATCTCTTAAGAAGTAGAAACCGGATAATCAAAAGTAGTAAGTGGTTAACCAATCTTTTGTCTTTATTGTTGTAAAACACGACAACAATAAGGAGAGTAATCATGTCCACCTACCTCAACACATTGTTCCGGCCTAATTCCCCAATCAATAACGAGTTCCTCTAGGATTTTCATTGTTTTATCCAGAATCGCATCAGCTGACAGAAACGAGGAAGTATTCGCGTAGTCCGTAGGAGAATTTGCACCCATAACACAATCTGAAAAATAAGCAATATACACATAAAATTAGAAAGTGTGATAGCATGTGAGAAAAAGAAACTATAGGGATTGGAAGGGACCACTTAAGAATACCGATCTACCAACAAGCGACTACGAAACAACGGATCTACGAACACGAACGCGCAACGTACAACGGGAAGAATAGCGTTCGATCGATAACACTAACAACTAGTTTCAAGCAGCATGAGAGAGCACGACAACTCGTACGAATTCGCGTCAGTCACTACACGACGTCGGACAAACGCGATGCCATCCGATTTTACTAGTACTCCTTCATACCTGGACGGCCCGTCTTTGCTGGTTGTGCAAGTCTCAGCATAATCTCCATTTTTCGGAGTTTTTGGTTTAGCCATTGTGTTTCCTTGGAGTCCTGAGGTCAGCCTGGCCAAAGTCTACTCCACTCAGGTCGTCACTACCACAAGCAGTCGACATCCTTGTGAATCAAAGGGAGATTTGCTACCATGCGTCTAGTTTGATACCGGGACAGTGGTGGATCCTGGTATTGGCTTACTCTTAGCTGGGCTTCCCTGTAGAAGCGCCGGGCTCCTTTTCAGCTTGGGAGATCCTGTCGGAGAATGAATCTCCGCTGTACATCGCGGCCCGAAACCCAGGAAGACCTCCCAGCCACGATGAGGCGGTAAACCGTTGGCACGAGTGTGACGTATATCAGTTTCTATATATGACAAACCTTTCTCGACAATCTTGTTGAGCCAACATGAGGTGTTACTTTATTCTTTATTTCAGTAGAGCTGACGTTTCGGTGGATTTGGCCTTCTTTGTAAATACAAAGCACATGTTCCTTCGTCACAAAGCTTTTTTAAAATGGAAGAGAATCACCAAGTTCATTTGTGTTGTGGGCAATGAAGGCCCGTAGTGAAACCACGCTGAAGCTCGCTGTGTGAGATTTGAACACAAAAATACCGTATCCTGATGAATATGGAGCTGGGTTAGATATACAAGTAGGCTGCTAGTGATATTACTATTGTAAGAGTGAGGTTACTTTATTCGACCGCTGCTTGAATCCAAAGGACTGTACTGGGTAAGATTACGAAGACCTACATCGAGTGGGCGAACGACTGTTACTCGATTCATTAGCTTTGTCGAAGGCGATAGCGTTTGAATGCTAGCCAAATAAAAATTACGTACCAATCTCGAGTAAACTGAAGAGTCCGCATGGGTATATTGATTGATTGCAACGAGGAAGTGAAAATCGGTTTAGTAAGGTGCTACTAAAAAAGGATAAAGCTGTTGGCGCTGATCAATCCCTGAGGGATGCGCTATGCATTCGACTTCATTAAGTATCATTGGAGGCGATTGAATGGATATCTGGCCTTTACAATGACTCGCAGTGGCCTACCGATGTATCGAGCCAGTGCTGTTATCCTCCCAGACAAGTCTGGTACCATACCACTCTGCCGACCCCGGAGGGATGGAACGCTTGGTGGGCCATAACCGCGGGGATCGATTCCACGTGTGTGTTGCAGGTCGCATCCGACGACTGCGCCACGCGTGCGTTTAAGGTGCTAATATTAGGTGATAAATGTCTCCAAAGTCTTCTTCAATAACCGTTGAATCACGTCGCTTTAAATTATTTCTAGAGAAGAGTTTAGGTCGTAAGATACGAAGTCTATCTATGTATCTTCTTTATTCTCTTCTTATTTATATTATTTTCACCAGGTTCGGGTTTCACATCGTCCTCAAGCGGTCACTCGACTAATCGCAGGATTTGCTGGTGTCACATAAATCGCTCTCGTCCTGGAGGAATCCTTGCCATAGACCAGCAAATATCCCTCTTATTCACGGAGCCTGTGGTGATGACTTTTGAATGAGGTAATATGTCCACAAGTCCTGAAGTTTCAGTCGAATCTAGGCCTGAATGCCACCATATCTATGGATGTCTGTTACATGATGACAAAGCGAAAGAAAACTGCTTGGATCTGCATGGCTTATCAAGATGCAACACCAAAATATCGTTTCGGACTTCCTTCACCGCCTTCTCTTTTTCTGTCCTCCTTTCTCTTTTTTTTCTCAGTTAGGTCGAGCATTAGTAAATTCTCAATTTCTCCCTACCATTAGTCAAAACAGCTCTTTTGTTTTTCCTTATCCAAGGAATACTAATGACATCGCTCTCTTTCTCGTACGAAGCCGTTGATTTTCACTGTTCTTTGCAATAAAATATCTAGGAGTAACTCG